TAAAAATATAGGAAGAGGAATATGTAGATGTAAAGATATACACACATACAAGCATATACATACATACATACATACATACATACATACATGCATGCATACATACAGACATACATACATACCTACCTACCTACCTACCTACCTACCTACATACATACATACATACATACATACATATAGTAATACATAAATAAATATATGCATACGTACATGTACTTATACATGTATAGCACACACGAAGGTATGCGGGCCTTCCCCCAGAACACTAATGGACGTACTGTACCGAACGACTCACGTTCGCAAGCCCATCCCGGAGGATGCCAAATACGAAATGCACGATGGCGGTCGCGAGCGCATCACCATGGTCGTGCTCCTTCCTCTGATGCCACCTCCCGCGGGCTCTCCCCTTCGGAGCGCCAGGGGCACTCCGAACGGGGGTGGAATGCGCCACTCGGCGCGGCCGACTTCGGCACGCGGCGAAGGACTCTCGGCGAAACCCGACCGGACTGGCAGGATCAGCCAGCATCATTCCGGGAGATTGTCAGGCTAGGGGGCCACATGCGAACCCGACCCCTACCCCCCACGATTTCTGAGGGGGACGGTGGGGTTCACTCCGTTCGGGAGCTCCCGAGCGAAGTGAACCCCACCCTCCCCCTCGGAAATCGTGGGGGGTAGGGGTAGGGTTCGCATGTGGCCCCCCAAAGGCGGTGTACGTACATTTCCACCGCCTGGGGATACGACGTCCTGGGGCCCCACTGGGCGGCGGGCGGTGGACATGGACACATGCTGGCCCCAGGGGGCCCGACTATATATCCACATCCGCTGCCTGTCGAGGTCCCTGGTCGCTGAAAGTCGACTCCCTTCGGAGAAATCGGACTGGATCGGAACGAGTATCAGATCAGGCTGCAGCGGCCCGGTATCGAAATCAAATCGGGTCGGCTGCGCCTGGGTACGCTTTGTGGAAGTCCGCGGGAACCAAATTGTCCAAGACAGTCAGACGCAGGTCAAGCAAGCGGTGGGGTGCACCAGGAGCGAATCGAGGCACGGGCCAAAGAGGCCAGATCGAGAGAAGGGAAGAGAGGGGAGCCCGCGCCGACCGTGAAGACTGGCGCGGGGAGCGGTGGGGTGCACCAGGAGCGAATCGAGGCACGGGCCAAAGAGGCCAGATCGAGAGAAGGGAAGAGAGGGGAGCCCGCGCCGACCGTGAAGACTGGCGCGGGGATGCCGTGGCACTGCGCCCGGATACGCACCAACGCTACACGGACATCGAGCCGCGGGAATGTCGGAATGGAGTCGGATCCAAGCGGCTGGAGCCGAAACCGATCCGAATCGACTGCATCGAAATATACCGAACGGGTAGGATGGGTGACTGGGGTGACAGATGTAGTGTTAGCGCGACTGGTTTGCCTCCCTCGTCTCTCCTCCTGGCTCCCGTCTGCTCCATCTCACTCCTTAGCCGTTATGGCACAAATTGTTGTGCTTGTTGACGCGAACTTCAGAGCGGCACACTGCGTCAACGGGTCATTGGCTCGGTTCTACTCAGTGATTGTGACTTCGGGGTGTATGACACCCCCGCCTACCCAGCGCAATGGTGGTGCTAAAGGTGGAGGGCGTGGCAAAGGACGCGGTCGAGAGGACAGGTCCAACGGCACGGCTCCCCCATGGCACTACAGTAGCGCCTACATGTACACGGACAAGACTGCAGAAGGGTTCTCCAAGTTCAAGTGCAGCTCCTGCGGCTGCGCCAAGAACCCGAAGGCGTCTCGCTACTGCAAGCATTGTGGGACTCCTCTTGCTGCTGTGCGCCCCGTTGAAGGTGAAGCCCCACAGAGTGGGGCGTGGTCTCAGGCTCCGCCTGGCGTCTTCTCACCGACGGCGCCATGGGCCATGCAAGTTCGTCCTCCCTCAGGGCTCCCAGGTGGTTCTGGACTGTTCGCTGGTGCTGCACACGGAGGAGGGCATCCTGGAGGCTCCAGCCGCCAGGGCACCCCCGCTTCCAGTCGGAGCGCAGAGCCAGCTCAACGCGACCGAGGCCAAGCAGCTGGCTGAGCTCGCGCGCAAAGGAGGCGACATGACCACGGCATCCAAGTACGAGGCTGAGTTCAAGAAACTTCATGCTCAAGAGTTGCCCAAGCCTCCCACACCACTCCACCAGCGCGTGCAGCAGCAGTTCGCGGCGGTGGCTCGTTTGGAGAAGACCTTGGACAGAGAAGTGGACAAGCTCTTGCTATGGAGGGATGACGTTGCCAAGCTTGAAGACACGGTGCGCAACATGCGTGAGGAGCTGGCCACGGCCGACCAGCAGTACAAGTCGTTGGTTGCGGACCTGCAGCAGCAGGCGTCAGTGGCCCCCCCCCCCCGCTGCTCCTGTGCCTGCCAAGCTCAAGCTGGAGGACCTGTGCGCCGACACGTTCGACCTGGGCGCTTTCCTCACAGTGGACGAGGCCAGCTTCTTCGAGGGCGATGCCGAGCTCCAGGAGAAGGACCGCGAAAAGATCGCCAAGCGGAAGGAGGACCTCAACGCGGGCGTGTCCAAGCTCGCCAAAGACCTGCTGGGCCCCCTGGTGGCTGCCGCCAAAGCTGCTCGAGATGCCCATCGGGAACACCTGGCTCGCGTTGCTAGCAAGCGGCGCCGTGCCGACCTGGAGGCAGCTGCTGGTGGAGATGCTGGAGCTGACGAGCCGCGTGGGGCACCTGCTGCTGCCCCAGCCGCGGCCGCCGCCGAGGCCACTCCAGCTGGTGGTGGAGCCCCAGCAGCTGACGATGTGCGGGCCAAGGCAGAGAAGGCCCTTCAACCCCCTTCCCCTGCTCCTGTCGGGGCGGGGGGAGGAACCAGTGCTTAGCCTGGCCGCAAATCCGAGCTTGCATGCGCGTGCCAGTCACAGCGCTCTCACGGTGAGCGCCCAAGGGAGTTTTTATTTTTCTGGGCCTCCAGCAGGCCACGCTTGCCCCCCAGGGATCCAGGGAACGTATACGAGCCCTGGAGACCAGGAGCGGCAGTCCCCACATTTTGCGTCGGCTGTGCTCGGGAACCTTGGTCTCATAACGCCTTCCAATCGTGGGTCTTATCACGCGGGCGTCGACGGAGTGCGTAGCTCTCTCGATGCCCAGCGGGCTGAAGCCCGCAAGTTTTTCAACCTGTCGCAAGCTGTGGAGGCCACCCTTGCCAAGTCGGACAGCGCCTGTCCCCGTCTGGCCGCTGGCGGCCATCTTCCTGGGCATCGCCGCGGCCCCCCTGGGGTTTCCGGCTCCGCGGGTCAAGAAGTTTTTACCAAGGCCGCACCCGGCCTCGATGTTGAACGTTCTCAGACGTCCAAGTTTTTTCCCTTCCACTCCCCTGAGCCCAGTCCTGGAGATTCTAGTGTTGAGCTCGTCATCCAGACTGCTAGCGTCACGCCTTGGCAATCCGATTCGGGAGGCGGTCTCAAAGCTTGGCCCCCTCAGTGTGGTGCGCACATTCTCTTGATCCAAGAGCGCCACTTGCTCGAAGCTGAGCTGGAGGAGGCTACAGACTGGGCGCATCGGCATGGGTGGAAAGCTATCCTTGGGCCTGCCGCTCCAGGAGTTGGACATGGTACTTCGTCAGGGGTAGGCATCTTGGTCCAGAACTCTTTGGGATGTCACGCACCTCCTGGAGGCCGCATCATCGACCGTCATCGTTCGATCGGACCTGTAGTACATATACCTGGCGGTGATCCCATCCTCGTTTGCAGCACCTATATGCGTACTGTTGAGTGGCTCTCCGAGGCCAACGTGGAGCTCCTGGCATGCATCGGCACGGTTGTTGAGCAGGTAGGCCTACCCACCATCATTGGAGCTGATTTTAACATGAGCCCCGACACGCTCGCATCGTCAGGAATTGTCAACAGGTTGGGTGCACAGGTGGCCGCCCCAAAAGACGTCGTGGGCACGTGTGGTGCTAGCATGCTTGATTAGTTTATCGTCACTGCTGGGCTTGCCAAAGGTATTTCTTCCGTCAGTGCCATCCACACGTCTAACATAGTTACTCATCTCCCCGTGCAGATGCAGGTTCACGCAGGGATCGGGAAGCGCCACGGTCTCGTCTTTCGGAAGCCACCGCCGTTGCCGACTGAGCCCGCGATCGGTCCTGCGCCTTTACCTCCAGATTGGACTGCTATTCAGTGCGAGGCTGATCGTGCCTTAGATGCTTGCCACAGCGGTGACGTGCACGCTGTCCAGTGCCTGCTCGACGCCCTCTATAAGCACTGGGCCGACCCTTCGGAGAAGGAGCTAGCAAGGGGCAGGCAAGCTACCCTTCCTTGTTGGGGGAGCAGGGGGAAGATGCCACAGCAGCATTGGGTTAACATCCTCGATCAAGATCGGCAGGGCCCCCCACCGACAGCCCCAATTGTATTCGATGCGATTAGTAAGTTCAGGCTCCTTCTCCAGCTTGATGCGGTTGCTATAGGATCCGCCCAGGCCCAGGAAGTTCGACGGTTGTTGCTCAATCCTCCTGGCTTTTTGAAGCAGGGGCTGGACGCCCACAGTGGCCAAGTCATGCGAGTGCAAACTTTTTTAGGTCAACACGATCTCCTCGGCCTCGTCATCGGGGAATCCATTCTCTCCGACTTAGACGAGCACGTTGCGACCTTTGCCGTGAAGGCCAAGTCGCAGGCGCTCGCTGAGTGGAAGGAGTGGCTTTTTCAGTCCAATGATCAGGGCGCCAGGAGAGCTCACCAGCATGTTAGGGGCAGCCATCCGTGGACCCCCACCACGACCCTCAGCAGAGAAGGAGCTGTCATCTCGGACCCCTTGGCGCTGCTTGCCTCCGAGGCCAGTAAGTTCAGTCAGTTATGGGGTGCCCCCCCCGCCCCCCCCCCCCCCCCCCCCCCCTCGAAGGAGGCCAAGTTCCAATGCGTCAAACCCCTCCCCCGCCGCCTCACTGCTGATACTCTTCGGTCGGCCTCCAGACGGTACGCCGCCCGTTCTGCCACTGCTGTTGACGGTTCCCACATGAAGCATGATGCGTCTCTCTCTCTCTCTCTCTCTCTCTCTCTCTCTCTCTCTCTCTCTCTCTCTCTCTCTCTCTCTCTGATGGGTCCTTGGATGTCCTGGGTACCATGTACTCCATCATGGAAGCTTCTGGGCTTTTTCCTGGGCAAACTTCCCTGGTTGTGTTTTCCCTTCTCAGCAAACCCTCTGGAGGGCATCGGCCCATCGGGCTTTTTTGCAGTCCCCGCCGCCTCTGGGGGCGGCGCCGCAGGCTTTACGCGGCCCAGTGGGAAAGCAGGTTTCAGCGCAGCTATTTCGCTGGGCCCCAGTTTTCTTCCTCTGTCGATGTTGTCTGGAGGCAGACTTTGCGAGCTGAAGGAGCTGTGGCCAGCAACCAGTCTAGCTGCACGATTCTGTGGGACCTCTACAAATGTTTTGAGTTGGTGCACTTGGCCACGCTCCTTCAGCGTTGCCACCAGTATGAGTTCCCCGTCCAGTTAGCTCGGCTCACTGTGCAAGGACATCGTCACGGCAGATTTGTTTCTCTCGGCGGCGTGGTCGTCGGCCCGTTCCACCTCACCAACGGCGTCGTCGCCGGCTGCGGTCTTGCGACCACCATGGTGCGTATCAACGCCATCCCTGCTCTCGACGCGTTGCAGCTGCCACCAGGTATCACGCTCGACGTTTACATGGACGATTACGGCATCAGCTGCAACGGGTCCAATACATACATTGTCGGGCACCTCCCCGAGGCCGCGGCCAACCTCAGGGAGGCCATCGAGGCCGATATGGGCGCGGTCATCTCCCCTGATAAAGCTTCCCTCGTTGCCTCGTCGGACGCGCTCGCCACGCAAGTCAGGGACTGTCTTGGTGGCCTCGCGGGGCCCATCATCCAAGGGGCCGTCAACTTGGGGATTGATTTTGCCCCTGGCACCTTCCGTCGGCTTCCTGGTGAGGGGGGGGGGGGGGAGTTTTCTGACCGCAAGCGGGCTTTCAACAAAAAGGTTAGAAGGCTCAAGCGAGCCAAGCGGCCCCTCGGGCGGCATGCTGTCAAAGTTTTTACCACGGGTCCCCTTCCCAGCCTCGCGTTTGGGTCTGAGGTTCACGGGCTCTCGAATTATGAATGGGACAGACTGCAGGTTGCCGCCGCCAGTATTATGCAGCCGCCTGCCAAGATGAGGTCACGGACCTCCGTCCTAATTTTAGCCCAGGACCCGACCTGGTACCCTGCTGTGGCGCCGATCGTGCGGTACTCCACGGAGATTTGGGCCAACCAAACAAAGCTTTTCCCTTTGTCATCCCGTGGGCTGAGCTGAGGGACTCTTGGAGGGTTGTTTTCGGATCCCCTGGGCCCAAAACCTGGCGTGGGGCTCAGGGGCCCCTGGGGGCCATGAAGCTGGCCTGGAAAAGGATTTCTTGGAGCATGCCCAACTACTGCACCCTCTTGGATGATTTTGGAACCGAGGTTTCGCTTACTGTGACGTCCCCAGCTCTTCTTAAGAAACTTTTGAAGGCTGCAGTTCAGAGGACCCACGAGAGGGCTAGCGGTGCCGCACTGCTCCCGCATCTTCCAGGAGCTCGAGTGTGCCATGCTGTTGCGGCAGCTACTTTGCGCTCCAAGAAGGGCACGCCGTTCCAGCGAGGTTGTGCCAAGGCTGTTGCTTGTAACGCCACTTGGACTAGGACCTGGGCCGCCGAAGCAGGATATGCTGTTTGCTCGGGTTGCGAACTTTGTGGGGGGTGCACCTGACACAATGCTACATCGGCTTTGGTTCTGCCCAGCGTGTCATGACAAGAGGCAGGAAGTGTTTGACAGTTCCAAGCAAAAGTTTACCCTTCTGCCTCCGCCTGACCTCACGCCCGAGAACAATGAGGAAGCTTACTTGCTGTACACTCGCGGCCTGTTTCGGCATCCAGGGGACGTGTTTCTGTTTCCTGCTCGTGATGATGTAGAAGACACTGGCCTCGAGACCATTTGGGCCAATGACCGTTCTTCGAAATCGCTCAGTATTTCTGGACACTGATTCGTGGACGGCTCTTGTGTTGCGCACACTGTTAAAGAACTCTCCAGGGCTGGGTGGGGGATAGTGATGGTAGGTGACGACGGCAATGACATCTGTCGCATTAGTTGTCCCCCGTGGGCCCCCAACCTCCAGACTGCCCAAGGGGGAGAGTTTGGGGCCTACGCTGTTGCTGCCATGCATGCCATGCCAGGCAGCTCCATTTACTCTGATTGTAAGAATGTGGTTGTCCAAGCCAATGAGCCGCTGCTCAGGGCTCTGTCCTACAAGCGTGTGTATTCTGGGTTTCTACTCCCCACCCACCGAAAGCTTTTAGAGGGGGTTTTTAAGGTCAAGGCTCACGTTGAAGAATCCACTGACCTAACCGAGCTTGAGCGTTTCTGGAAGCAAGGTAACGACCTTGCTGATAGTGTCGCCAAAGGTTCGCTTGCCCGCCACCCACAACCTGACCCCGAGGATGTGGAATGGCTTGAGCGATGCCTCACGATTGCTCAGTGTGTCATGCGTCTTGCGGCCGAGCTGATGCCAGAGTGGCCTCGGCTCAACCTGATAGGGGTCCCGCTTGTGCCCAAGCCCCCCAGGCCAAAAGTTGAACCGAGGCATCACCAATAACTCGTGTCTCATCTTTTTGGCAGTGCATTGAATGTCTCAAGGTTGCCAAGGGCGTGCCGCGGAAGAACCCTGATGGGTCTCGGCTTGGAGGTCTGGACCCGCCGGCCCCTGGGAAGTGCCTTAGAGATTCCAAGCTGACTTCCGCGGTGCTTTCTGCCCTCAGGCACAACTGCAT